AAATATGCAGGGTCTCCCAACAAATTCTTCTCTTTCTCTCTTTTTTTTCTGGCTGGGTGCTCGTGCGTGTATATGTGTACTTGCATACATGTGTTTCTTTGAGCTAGACCAGGTTGCCCGCAAACTTGATATGGAGCTGAAGGTGACTTTGGGGTCCTAATCCTTGTGCAACCACCTCCCAAGTGATTAGTCTGTGCCACCACATCTAGCCTCCCAGTTGTTCTTTCTTTCTCTCTCTCTCTCTCTCTCTCTCTCTCTCTCTCTCTCCCCCCACGCCCAATTCCAAGTTTATGAGGAGTAGATCTGGGAGGGGCTGGGGAGAGGTGAGTCTGATCAAAATACCTTTTTTTGGGGGGGGGTGGGGGGATGAGTGTTCAAGACAGGGTTTCTGTGTAGCCCTGGCTGCCTTAGAACTTACTCTGTAGATCAGGCTGGCTTTGAACTCAGAGGGCCTGCCTCTATCTTCTGTCTCTGAGTGCTGGAATCAAAGGCATGCACCACTATTGCCAAGCAGATCAAAATACTCTTGAATAATTTCAAAAAAAGTTTAAAGTCCAAGGCTGATAAAGATGGCTCAACAGATAAAGGCACTCGTCACCAAGCCTGACAACCTAAGTTCGATCCCCAGAACCCAAAGAGTGTAAGAAGTTGTTCTCTGACCTCCCCATGTATACTGAGGCATGTGTGCATCCCGACACAGACACACATAAAATAAGGACATGTAAAAGGGTGCTTGCTGCCAGGCCAGATGAATCAAGTTCACTTTTTGAAATATAGGTTACATCTAAAACAACGGGAAGCCAGTTGCAGTATTTGTCCTAATAAAGGAATACAAATCAAAAGATATTAATACAGCGTCCGAAACCATCCAAGCAAGAAGGTGAGAGCTAAAGCCACATTAATTGTTATGTTCAAGGAGAGGAATGTCCATATAAATACCAACAAGAACTTAAGTGAACAAACTTACCGCCAGTGTTTCTCAACTCTTCTGCTAAGTGCAATTTTTTCTCCTACTTCTGTGCACACAGGATTAGTCAAAACAATCTTGCCCAAATCAGCCTTGACAGCACTGACTCTTCCTCCTGTCGACAGGGAGCCTATGTTGACCATAAGCACTTCATTCTTAGACAGCTTTTGCACCTAGGGAAAGAAATTGGAGAAAAAGGGGACAACAAATAAGAAAATGCTTTCTGAAGAGTGTGGAGGCGTACACCTTTAGATCAGGTGCTCAGGAGGCACAGGCAGATTGATCTTTCTGAGTCTGAGGCCAGCCTGGTATACATATTGAGGGCAATGCTGAAAGACTTGCCGCAAAAAGCCAAACAAATCAATAGTTTCTGTTTTCGTGGGGACTCTTTAAAACCTAAAGCACGTACCTTTGCAGCTTTCTTGTCTCCTTCAGTTCGTACGCCCAAAAGACGTCTAAGCAGGAAATAGGAAATTTCCAGTTCTGTGAATATTTCAGGTAAAGCTCCAACGGCACCAAGTACTTGTCCCACCATTCTGTCAGCTCGGCACAAAGTGGGGTCGATCTTTGTTCCAACTCCTAATAAAAAGTTAAAATGTTATGCAGTCTTATTTCTTATCTAAAATACCCTTGGAGTAATTTGCTTCAAAGTCTAGTTAAAAATTGACATCCTTCTATACCTTCTTCCGTTTTCATACACTTAGAGTAAGCCGAACAAAATACTTGTTTTGTTTTAATTTTGTTTTTGGTTTTGTAAGAAGTAGTTTCTCTATGTAGTCCTGGCTGTCCTGGAACTCACTCTGTAGAACAGGAAGGCCTCCAACTTAAGAGAGCTACCTGCCTTTGCCTGAGATTTAAGGCCATCACACCTTTCATGAAAATAAAAATTTAAAGCTTTTTCTGGGTGTTTTGATGCACCTGAGCACCATACGCATGTAGTACCTACAAGAGCCATAAGAGGGCGACGGTGCCCTGCAAAGATAGTCACAAACAAAGATAGTCAAAGCTGCTTCAAGTACTAGACACTGAACTTGGGTCCCCTGAAGGAGCAGAGCAGCAAGTGCTCTAAACACGGAGCCATCTCTTCAGGCCCTTATTTTTTAAGTTATGTGTCTATATGTGCCTTTGCATGCAAGTGTGGCACCAAAAGAGGGTACTGGCTCTCCTGGAGCTGGAGTTATAGATGGTTCAGAGTCACTCGTAAATTCACACATCTGCAAGAGCAGTAGCCATTCCTAACCACTCAGCCACATCTCCCGTCTTTACAGTAAACATTACAGAAAGGAAAAATGAATTGCATGTATTTCCTTCCTTAGCTCAAAGGTACATTTTGAACTCTTATTCAATCTTGCCTTTTTCTCAGCAATCGAAAAATGTTAAGAGATCAGAAAACCCTTTTTTGATTTGTTTGAGATAGGGTCTTACTTGAGTTAGGTCTTGCAATGGAAGTTTCGGTTTCTTTAAAAACTCAGTTATGTTATGTAAATATGCTTTTTTATTTAATAACAAGTGTGGGATTTTAGCTTGGGCTTTAGTTTGTCCAGAGCCGACGATTCCTCCTGTGTGCTGGTCTTCGCGGCACAGAGAGGGGCGTGGTCTAGGGAGTCCTGGAAGAGATAGACTGAGGAGACTGCTTGCGTTTACTGTTGACAGATTCGTAGAGCCCCAAAAGAACCCATCGGGCCTAAACAGCTGCAAGAAGTAAAGGGGTCTGTGCCCCCTCTCCCCACTAACCTTTCTTACCTAAGGCTAAATGGTTGCTGGAAGGGAGGTAGAGGCCTAAAAACCCCAAATTAAATGTTTAAAAACGAGTGCAACAGGGCTGGAGAGATAGGTCAGAGGTTAAGAGCACTGGTTGCTCTTCCAGAGGCCCTGAATTCAATTCCCAGAAACCACATGGTGGCTCACAACCATCTATAATGAGCTCTGGTGCCCTCTTCTGGTGTGCTGGTGTACATGCAGACATAACACTGTATACATAACGAATAAATCTAAGAAATAAAATAAAATAAAATTTTTTAAATGAGCATAAGGTCTTATATCTCCAGTCTGGTTATGCTGTCCACACTGGTCTCAACCTTCTGTGCTAAAGGCAATCCTGCTTCAGAGTCCCAAGTATGTGGGACTACAGGTACTCACTACCATGCCTAGGTGGAACTTTTTTTTCTTTTATTCCCACATCAGAGTGAGTATAATCTGACATTTTTTTCCTTTTTAGTAACATTACATTTGCAAAATTCACACAAAAAGCAATCTCCTCCAAAAGTGTGTCACCAAACAGTAATGATAAGCCAGGCACTCTAGTGCAAACCTGTACCCAGCTACTTGCCAATTTAGGCAATATAGCAAGGCAGTATAAAACCAACCAACCAGCCTAAATCCCCAAACAAACCATATATAACCAGTGCTTTGAATGCTAGATCATCAAACTTACTTTGTGCCAGGCACAGTGGCATAGACCTGAAATTCTAGCTGTAACTGGAATGTTGCAGGAAAACCTTAAGTTCTAGCTCAGCTTTGCAGTACAAAGTAAGTGACAGCTTGGGTAACCTTGTGAGATCTTTTAAAAAAAAAGAAGAAGAGTGGGGCTGGAGAGATGGCTCAGTGGTTAAAAGTATTACACTCTTCCTTGGTGGGTACCAGGCATGCGTGTGGTGTGGACACACACACACAAACACTCATACCACACACACACACACACACACACACACAGAGAAATAGAGCATCTGCCTAGCATGTTCTAGCCTTTACCCAAAACTTAGCCAGAATTATTGAATAAATATCTATCCACCAAAAAAGATACTTTAAAAATATTTTTATTATTAATATTATGCTTGTTTGAGTGAGTAAGCACCTTTATTTGAGCCAGCTCCAAAATGTCTTCTTCCTGTTTACAATATTCCAAGATGTACCAAGAAAGCCAGGTGTGATAGTACACATCTGTAAGTCTAGCACTTGGGCAGCTGATCTAGGAGGGTTGCCTTGAAAACCAGCCTGGAGAAAATTACATGGCAAGACCCTATGTCAAAAATTAGAACAGGGGCTGGAGAGATGGCTCAGAGGTTAAGAGCACTGACTACTCCTCCGGAGGTCCTGAGTTCAATTCCCAGCAACCACCAATAATGAAATCTGGTGTCCTCTTCTGGTCTGCTGGCACACATACAGGCAGAATACTATATAAATAATAAACAAATCTTTAAAAAAAAAAAAAATTAAAACAGGATGTGGTGGAGCACATCTTTAATATCAGCACTCAGAAGGCCAGCCAGGGCTATGTAGAGAGACCCTGTCTCAAAACAAACAAACAAAAAACTCCAACAACAAAAATAACCAAAGGGAGGCAAAGAGATGACTCAGCAGTTAAGAGCAATTGCTGGTCTCTGCAGAGGCCCTGGGTTTGGCTTCCAGAACTGACAAGGCAGCTCACAGGTTCTGAAACTCCAGTTTCAGGGGGTGGGGGTAGGTGGAATCTGACACCTTCTTTGGCATTTTGGACATTGGCACACAAGATGTACAAACATATATGCAAACAAGATCATATACATAAAAATAATTCTGTAAAAACAAACAAGCCTTACACTTTAATCTTTGGTATTTCCTACGAAACACACCATTAATCTCCACAAATTAAGAGGGAAATGCTTACCAATGAGGCCACCTGGAGCAGCGTACTGAAGATCATTATGTTCTGCAAAAAGTGATACAATTTTCGAAAAAATTGGTTTACACATGAGTTTTCCTTCACTATCTTTGGAAACAATACCGGGTCTGACTTCTATCTCCTGGCCTACCTGTAAATATACCATTAGTAATGAGAAGTATTGTAGAACATGCATTTATTATTTAGCTACCAATGTACTAACAAAAAGACCACCAAACTAAAAAGGCGATCTTTCCTCTAACTTCAAGACTACTACTTTTTTAAAAATTCTTTATTAATTACTTTATTTATTCCCTTTGTATCCCCCCTGTGGTTCCTTCCCTCCTCCCGTCCCAATTCCTCCCTTCCTCCCCCCTTTGCAAGCATGGCCCTCCCCAAGTCCACTGATAGGGGAGGTCTTCTTTTCCTTCCTTCTGATCCTAGTCAATTAGGTCTCATCAGGAGTGGCAAGACAACTACTTTTATTGACTTCTCCCAGCTGTGCACCACCATGCCAGATTAAAATTACATATATACATACATATATGTATGTATATATATATGTGTGTGTGTGTATTTTATTTTTTGGTTTATTTGAGACACAGTCTCAATGTAGCTCTGGCTATCCTTTAACTAACTTTGCAGACTATGCTAGCCTCAAACTTGGAAATCTGCCTGCCTCTGCCTCCAGATTTAAAGGTGTGAGGTACTATGCTCAGCTACATTTTTTTTTTTTTTAAGGAAAAAAACGAGTCTGGCGGTGGTGATGCAAGCCTTTAATCCCAGCACTTGGGAGGCACAGGATCTCTTGAGTTTGAGGCCAGCCTGGTCTACAGTGAGTTACAGCACAGCCAAACCTACACAGAGAAACCCTGTCTCAAAAAAACCATAAAAAGGGAAGGAAAAACCTGACATGGAGGAGACAGATGTGTCAACAGTTACAGAGTACTTGCTGCTCTCCCAAAAGATCAGAGTTCAGTTCCCAGCACCCTCATGGCAGCTCACAACCATCTTTAACTCCAGTTCTGAGGGATCCAACAACCTCTTCTGGCCTCCCTGGACACACACATACATGGAGACAAACACCCATAGGTATTAAATAAATAAATAAATCTAAAAGAAAAATTTTTCCTCAGTTCCACTCAACCTTTGCAAAATATTGAATAAGCCTGTTGTCCCGTAAAATATGCTCCACATTCACAAGAGAACTGTAAATGTGGAGATCGACCCTGAAAAGTTCTTAGTTCCACCTATGCACCGTGGCACTCGCACGGCCACCCACATCCATATGATAGATAAACAATCAAGCTCAGAGCGTAACAATTCAATCCAGTTTACCTTTAACACTCCTTTTAGAATACTACCACCAGCTACACCTCCCTTAAGGTCATCAACTTCACAGCCAGGTTTGTTGACATCAAATGACCTGATAACTAAAGAAGAAAAAAAAAAATTAAGATGAAATCAAGCCATTTCTATTGATTGTAGCTTTAGAATTCTTTTCCAAGTCAATTTCTCCAAAAACAATCTAATGTTACTGCTTTAATGCTTACTGAAATCTTACTTATAACAGAAACAAACAAACAAACAAACAAAGCAGAAAGTTTAAAAGTTCATTGAGATGGCTTATTAAGTATACTAATATTATAAGAGTCTCTACCATGGAGTATCATGCAGCTATTAGAAATTAATACTATAAATTACATGTAATGATCTTAGATGGGTTTTGTCTACACACAAAGTGAGTTCCAGTACAGCCAGGGGTACGCCTGTCTTGAGAAACCCTGTCTTGAAAAAGTGCCAGGTGTGGTGGCACACGCCTTTAATCCTAGCATTCAGGGAGGCAGGGGTAGGTGGATATCTGAGTTTGAGGTCAGCCTGGTCTACAAAGTGAGTGCAGGAGAGTCAAAGCTACACAGAGAAACCCTGTCTTGAAAAAACAAAACAACGATAACAAAGTCTTGACCTGCGTATCTAAGGTTTCTGAATCTGTGTCATTCAACCAGGCAAGAAGCAAAAATGCTTATGTGATGAGGCCCATTATCCTCTTTGCATTGTAACCATTTACACAGCGTTCACAACCAACTGGCTATTATGACTTAAGGCATACAGAAAAGAATTGGTAATGTACCTCAGTGGTAGTGTGGAGGAGCCTGCACGTGGGCATTTTATTTTTTCATTTGTTTGAGAGAGGCTCTCAGGTTGTAGTGCTGACTGACTTGAGCTTGTTATGCGGACCAGACTAGCCTTGAATTCAAGTGCTTGGATTATAGGTATGTGCCACCATGCTTGGTATGTTATATATAGGATTTCTGTATTATATGGCTTCTACAATACAAATTTACTTCAAAAAATTGTAAGGCAATTCTAAGACTGTATGACTTATTCTTAGGTCACCCAGGAGAACTTTCCCCCAACAATCACACAAACAGCTCCAAATGAAGATCTGGAAAAAGAGGCCTTTGAAAAAGCTCCTGCATCTTTGAGCAGCAACCACAACTCAGTGAAATCAAACCTATCGGCTTTTCAGTAATGGTACAATGTAGTGGAAATTTCGGTTTCTTTAAAAACTCAGTTATGGGGGCTGGAGAGATGGCTCAAAGGTTAAGAGCACTGGCTGTTCTTCCAAAGGCCCTGACTTCAACTCCCGGCAACCACTTGGTGGCTCAGAACCATCTATGAGATCTGGTACTCTCTTCTGGTGTGCAGGCACACATGCAGGCAGAATACTGCATAAATAAATAAATAAATAAATAAATAAATAAATAAATAAATAAATAAATGAATGAATGAATGAATAAATAAATAATAAAGACTCAGTTATGTTACGTAAATATATTTTGTTTTAATCTGAAGTGTGGGATATGGCGCTGCTTTCAGTTTGTCCACAGAGAGGGAAGTGGTCTTTGCCAGTTGCAGTTATTTAATTCTGATGACTCTGAGAGGGATAAATAACAGAACTAGGAAGGAGGAGGCTTTGAGGAGAGGGCTGGGGAAGGAAGAAGGCTGCTGCTGTGCTTCCTGTTTGCTGGTTAACTGGACTGCTGGATATCCTGACTACAAAGATTGGAATTACCCCAAGGAACTAACTCTAAAGAGGTCTACCCTTCTAACCTTCCTTCTCTCCTACCTAGGGTCGGGGTTTGGAAGAGAGGTAGAGGCATAAGGAACCCCAAATAAAACAGTTTAAAAACCAGGGCCAACAGTACAATGACAACATCTTATAATCCCCTAGAAAATACTTTTGCCACTCCAGGTTGGTCAAGGAAAATACCAAATATTAACCACAATGAGTTTTTCACTCAGGGCCCTGTCATCCAGCAATATAATGAAGACATTAATTCAAATAGGTTTTATGGATTTATCACCATCTCTGCAGAAAGAAGAAACATTAAAAGGGAAGCACCAACATGGAAAAGTCCAGTTAAATGTGACTCACTTACCAATGAGACGGGGTTCTGAAGTAAAGTCTCTTGGGGGGCACTGGTATTTTCTTCACTATGTACTCACAGACAACTTCAATGTTGTATTTCAACTGAGCAGAAATTGGAATAATTGGCGCCCCTTCTGCTACTGTTCCTATGTAACAAATTTCAGAAAGATCAAAATCCTTGGGTCTTATAAAACTTGCTCTATACAGCTGCTAGATAAATCAAAACTAAAAGAGGCCTAAATATGTCCACACAAATGCCAGTCAACAAGCAGAAAGTGGTCTCTCTAGAAAGGTGACAATATTCTCTTTAACTCTTGCAAATGAATTATCTGTCCTCTAAGGGGAAACTGCTAAATTTATATCAACGGGTTTAACAAAGGCAAAATGCTGTGTTTAAAGCAACAAAACACGGATACTCCTGGGGAGCAGCACTTTAGAAGCTAGAAGATTTTTAACAACACATAATTAACCTTTCCATAAATGTCAAAAGGAAATTAGAGTCTTCGATAATTAAAGACTGGCTGGCCTATGTATTTCTTTATTAATAATATGTCAAGCAAACTAGTCAAAGAAATAGACCAAAATTAATCAGATTTTAATCAAAATGTATTATTTTTCATGCTAGAACTGGGTTCTCAACAAGAAAAGGCTAAAAAAAATAACCAAAGGTCAACAGTAATATGCATCATGTCTTCTCTGAAAGTGGAACATGCTATGATACTAGAGAAAGGAACTCTGAAAAGATCACTTTGTTCTTTAAGATGGACCCTCTCTATGCAGTCCTTGCTGGCCTTGAACTCAAGAGGTCTGGGCCTGTGCCTCTAGGGTGCTGAGATTAAAGGCATGTGTCATGAGGTCCAGCAGAAAGATTGCTTTTCCATTTTTTTAAATTCATTTTACTACTACTATGAATTTTTTTCTTTTGTGAGGCAATGATAAACTCAGTGCCTTGTGTTTGCCAGGCAAGCACTCTACCACTGAACTATACTCTAAGCCCTTGGAATTTAAAACATGTAATGTGACTGACAGCATCTCCAAAGCATAACCTCAGTTTTAACTCTGTACATTAAATGCAGAAAAATATATTTATAGTCTTATCAGGACACTGTCTCAGATCACTAACAAGTACTGGGTAAAAAAAAAACAATACTCATGATACCTAAATCTACTTCATTTTAGATGATATTACAACTTAGTGATCCTCTGATTTATTAGCTATTAAAACTTACCTTGTACAAATGCAAGAATCTGCTCATATTGTTCCTTAGCCTGACTTTCTTTGACTAGATCAATTTTATTCTGTAAGATCAAAATATGCTTGAGTTTCATGATTTCTATAGCAGCCAGGTGTTCAGAAGTCTGAGGCTGAGGGCATGATTCATTACCAGCTGGTTGACAGAGAATAACAAACATGCATAAGAATAATTAGAAATGTCGACAGAATGCAATTTCAAAAACAGCAGGCAGATTGTTGGTTGTGAGGAGCTGTGGGGAGTGTAATTGGGCGGTGAATGCTTAACAGGCAGGGTATTCTCTTTGGTGGTAATGAAATCCTGAATGGACTTCCTTCACTGATATTGGTAAAACAGTAAGCAGTAAGCTTTACATGATGTACACTCTACTGCCAAGTGCTTCACCCTGTATCTTCATTCACTGCAGCCTCACACTCCTGGTCCTAAGCCAGGAGCTTCCAATGAACAAGTTGTCTTCAAGAGCTTTTGCTGAGGCCTTCTAGCTCAAATCTAGTCTGGGTGTGTTCTGGTACAGCTCAGCCCTTACGAGATGGTCAAGGCTCCTCCTTAAATAAGCAACAGTGCACCCCGGTAGGTAAGTTTTGGTCAGCCTGCCAACAGTCACCCTCCCGTCTGTACACGTGTCCGATACTATATCCCCTTGCAAACCTCAAAATACCACACTTATACCTGTGAAATCTCTTAACAGTTCACATAAGGAATAACAGTGTTACCGCAGTGTATAACTCCCAGGTTATACTACACCATGGCCATTACTATGAATCAATCAGTTCTCCACCTCCATGGAGAGGCAACTCACTACACAGACCAATGCTTTAACGCTCAAATTTTAAATGGAGATAGTATGTGCAGCTGCACCATATTCTTTTCTGGATACTCTAAGACTTCGCAGAAGCCATAAACCCCAGGACTCTTTTGCTTAGTATTTTGTTTGTGCTGTTAGAAGGAAATGTCATCCTCCGTGACACATTCCTTTTCATGTCTCACTTAGATAACGGACATGGCCTCCAAAGGTTTTATTTCTTCCTCAAATATTCCACTCAGATTAGTTATCCCTCTGTTTGTCCAAACCAATTCTGATGACTTTACCTATCAACAGAAGAGCTGCACCATCACTGCTGCGCCATTCAGCATTGTAGCCATCAAAATATCATGGCCAGGACAGTCAACAAAGGAAACATGCCTGACAGTTGAGAAATAACAATCAGTCTTAAGATCAATCAAAACTATAAACAGACTGTAGATTTCTTTTCTTTTTGAGACAGGGTTTTTCTGTGTAACACACCTGGCTGTCTTGGACTCTTTTTGTACACCAGGCTGGCCTTGAACTCACAGAGATCTGCCTGCCTCTGCCTCCTGAGTTCTGGGATTAAAGGTGTACACCACCATGCTTGGCCAGGCTTTACTGTAGATTTCAGAAAGTTAAATCACATGGGAACTAGCTCTCAATGTTGTTAAAATGGGTTGTAAGACTTGGTGTTTATAGACTCTGGGTCTGATGCTTATGGCTTCCACAGGTACTGGCACCTAGATAAGCGCTCAGACAAACACATCATTCAAAATAAACATGAAAAAAGAGAGAATGAAGACTTTCATTTGAAAAAAATACTCTGCCCAAAATATCACTACCCCTGAAAAACTGGAATTGTGTGTCTGAAAGTGAGAGGACAGTACTACTTTAAACTTATGCTACTCAGAGTTATGACTTTAGAATTTACTTTTTAAGCCACAGGCAGTGGAGCACCCCTATAAGACTAGCATTCGGGAGGCAGAGGCAGGTTGATATCTGTGAGTTTGAGGCCAGCCTCATCTATAAAGTGAATCCACGACAGCCAAGGCTACACAGAGAAACCTTGTCTCGAAAAACCAAAGCAAGCAAGCAAGCAAACAAACAAACAAACAAACCCAAAAAGTGCTCTTGGTTACTAACATCTCTCCAGCCCCCCAAATCACAATTTTAACAAAAATATATGCTCATATTTCCATGATCTAAAATGGGAATCAAGGATCAGCAAACTATGAGCTCCAGACTCGGCTTACCACAAACTCATAGGTGAATTTACATGTGCTTTGGTAAAAGAAGAGAAGAAATAAGCACTAGCAACTCTAAGGCCCACAAAACAGAAAACAGTTGCTCTTTACAATAGAGGTATCCTTATCTCTGATAGTGCTAGGACCAGAGTGAGCTAAGAGAGGGTACCTCAGGTGTACATTTTAAGGGGATGCCTAAACAGTAAAAAAGAAAGCCTGGAATGTTGATCAGTGGTAAAGCATTTGCCTGCTAGCAGGTGGGGCTTTTGGTGCAAGCCCTAGTGCTAAAGGAAAAAAAAAAAAAATTAATTCAATACTTGGATAAAGACAACCAAATTTCAAAATTAATGCCAAAATCCATAACGATCAAAACTCCAACATTTTAAATAGAAAAAGGATTATTAACAATGGCCTGCCTAAAAGGCATGTTGGCAAACACCTTTAGTCCCAGCATTCAGGAGGCAGAGGCAAGCAGATCTCTAAGTTTGAGGTCAGGCAGGCTACATAGAGAAACCCTGCTTCTAAAAACCAACCAACCAACCAACCAACCAACCAACCAACCAACCAACCAAGCTAAAGAAGTCACAGAAAAGCAAGAAAATATCAGCAATATTGTTGGCCTTTATTTAAAGTCTTGATACTGGTGACTCTTGCATTAAAGTATTTATCCTGATTATTGAGATTTCTTGGCTTCCCCTCCTTCCCTAAATTTTGGGCCTAAGACAAAGAGTTGCCCACTATCTAAGATGGTCTTGTAATACCCAAAGATGTTAGTAACTACATACCAGCATCCTCTGGTAATGAACCAACATGTGAAACATTCAGAAAATTGTTTGGAAACAAAGCCATTTGTTTTAAAGAAGCAACTGAAAAAATGGCTTCATTCTTTTATCTAATAAACAGAAATGACACTGCCTAAATCCAGTGAGTTGTTTTCTCTCCCTTCCTTTTTTGCTCATGCAATACTCACCTTAAAAAAAAATATTTTTTTTTAAAGATTTATTTTCACTTTCTGTGAATGAGCATTTCATGTCTAGTACCCTCAAAGGCCAGAAGGGGTTGTGGGATCTCCTGGAACAGGAGTTACAAATGGCTGGGAGCTACCAAGAAGATGCTGGGAATCAAACCTGGGTCCTCCTAGCCAGTGCATTTAACAGATGAGCCCTCTCTAGCTCCCTTATGCAATCTTTCAGTTTGCAGAACTTTTTAAATTAATTTCAAACACACTTGACCTTTCAATTCTTATCACTGTATAAAATAAAATGCAAAATAATGGTAAAGCAATGAAACCATTCAGCAATTAAGTTAGGGTTCAGTGTCTTAAGTACTTCAAAAGGCACAAAGCACAATGTAGTGACTGAAAAGCATAAAGTGATTTTGGCATCAAAGTTACCTGACTAATTTGAAGTTCCCTTTGGTCCCTGGAATGTCTGTAGGAAACTCATCCGGTGTACTACTTCCACATGATCTGTAACATTCTGGTCTAGGACAACTTGGGTCATCAAGTTTATAAATCTAAGTTTCCATGTAAAAGAAGAGAAACAAACAAACAAACAAACTGGATTTGTTTACTCATGCACCAGTTAAAGTTAAGTAGTTTCTAGTTTCACTGTATACAGATTACCTTAGCATTAGCATATCCAAGCTTGATGGTAATGTTCCTTTCCAGTTCATTTTTGAATCTGACAGTGTGAACTCCAGAAATAGCCTTTACCACAGTGGATTTCCCATGAGCTACATGACCAATTGTACCTATTGACCAAAGACAACAAAATTAACTTCTGCATGCAAGTACACCAGATATCTTTACAAACACTGTTGAGTAGAAAACTAAAAACACTAACTATAAATAGCCTGGACAATTTAGGGAGACCTTGTCATAAATCTTAAAAAACAAACAAAACAAAACAAAAAAACAGAGCCGGAGCCAGGCACGGTGGCATATACCTTTAATACGTGCAATGAAATTGAAGTCAGCCTGGTCTACAAAATGGGTCCAGGGCAGGAAGGGCTCTGTTATACAGAGAAGCCCTGTCTTGAGGAAAAAAACAACAAAAGTGCTGTGAGTGATGGCGCACGCCTTTAATTTCAGCAGAGGCAGAGGCAGAGGCAGGCAGATCTCTGGTCTACAGAGTTCCAGGACAGCAAGGGCTACAGAGACAAACCATCTTGAAAAACCTAACCAACCAACAATAAAAAAACCTCCCCCCACCCTCCAAAAAAAGATTCAAACACACAGTTAGTATGACAAACTTCGATATAACAAAAAAGAACACACTCATAATCCTAGTACTGAGAAATCTGAGGCAATGGGATTGCCTTTAGTTAGAGGTCAGCTTGAGCTACACAGTGAATACCAAGCTAACTACTCTATGTATACTAGTTAGCCAGAATACATAGCAAGCCTGTACCAACGCCCCTAACCCGACAAGAAAAACCAACCACACATTTTATACTCAAGCAATATACCTCAACAGTTCTAGATGCCAATTAATGGGGAAATAATTCTACTTAATTATAGCTTATACATCAAATAAAACTTCCATAAACTGCCCTTGTACGGCAAGAACACATTCTCACCTCTTTCTTCCCTACTGTATGATTACATACTGCCTTGTACTACTTTTTTTCCTTTTACTATTAAATTTTTTTTTCATATATATATATATATATATCTCAAAAATGTAGCAAGGTTTTGTTCACAAGGGCTCCACAGCTTTCTTTTTGACACACTGTGCTGCTCAGGACACTCTCCAAGTAAACGACCACAGTATTCAATGAATTACACAACAGGAAAGACTAAAATTACTTTTAAGTGAAGTCTCCGAGCTATCTTACCTATATTAATCGTGGCTTGTCTGCTGATAACTTCATGTGAAAGTGGTGTCAACTTGGTGACATCCTGCAGTAAAATATATTTCAAAACACGATCAACATAAACCAGAAAACTTTCCTTGATGTTAATTTTTCCTTTTCCCCAGGTACAACTCTATGCCCTATATAAGCAGCTCTCTTCTCCCGCTAAAGTGTCTCCTCCCTTATAGTGCTGTTACACTATGAGCCCTTCATTGTCATATAAGACAACTCCACTCACTAAGAGAGGACTAGAGATGAAAGACCACCTAATCCTGGAGGCTTAGCAAGTCCTCAAGGGTCCAACACAGTGGGCAGTGTGGTCCGGTTTCCAATCCTTTTCAAACTTAAACCTTAATGATTTTAAACAATCTTTGTGTATCTCATGCTGGCCTCCAACTCTATATGTGGCCACCTTTAACTTCTAATTTTCCTATTTTCATCTCCTAAAGTGCTGGGATTACAGGCGTGCGCTCCTGAGGATGGAACTCAGGGCTGCGTGGATGCTAAGCATACACTCTACACAGTGAACGGCAGCCCCAAAGTACTTAATTCGATTTATCACCGAAGCTTAACTCCCGGAGTTCCAACTCTCAAAATCGTTGACCAGTGCGGGCACTAGGCAAGGTACTGGCGAGGGAGCCGCCACGCCTGAGTCTCTAGGGCTTAGAGGGTACAGCTCTAGGATATCTGCTTTACACCACGATCCAGACACTCGGGCACTGCCCCATCTCCCCCCTCCCTGGCTCACAATACATTCCCGCCGCAAATCGAGACCTCACCAATGTAGCGAGATCTTGTCGAGAAAGATGTGGCTGCCCGAGAGTCACTCCACCTCCACCCCCCGCCATCTTGCTCGGAGAGGAAAGGAAACTGCTCGGCAGCCGCCTGACAAAACGTAGGCCCCCTTGGGCGGAGCGAAAGAGCAGCGGCGGGAAGGCGGGCTGTGGCCCAGTCCTGGCAAAAAGGATGCCAAATGCAGCAGTAACCTTACTACTGAGCTTCTCTCTGTTTTAATTTGCACAGGAACTACCGGCAACCTTACTCGAAAACACAATACAAATTTTAGAACGTATCCGTTTCCATCCTATTAGATTTTATTTTATTTTTTTGCGCAGGCAAAGTTGAGGGCAACCCCAGGAAAGGCCCCCCCTTGAGGGGAGGGTTATTAATGTGACACTTCGCGCTGCACGGAGAAGCTATTTCCGTTTCCTTTTTGTGCTAGCCGGAAGTTTTCCGGCATCTGGGCATCTTTACCCAGCGTGTAAATCAGAAAAATGGAAATGTCTCTTTTATTTTACTTCATTAATTTATTGACTGATTTACCCATTTCTGTAGTCTAATAAAGGTATGTCAGCTCGGGGT